CAATAACAAAAAGACAAATAATCCAATTAAAAATGGGCAGAAGACATGAATTGACACTTCAACAAATAGATATTCAGGCAGCCAACAAACATATGAAGAAATACTCAAGATAATCAGCAATCAGAGAGATGCAAATCAAAATAACAGTAAGATAACTTCTTGTCCCAGCACTAGTAGCAAAATTCAACAAGAAAGAAAATGACCAATGCTGGCAAGGATGTGGAGAGATTGGGACTCCCATACACTGCTGGTGGGACTGTAAAATGGTACAACTACTGTGAAAAGCAGTATGGCAATTTCTTAAAAAGTTGGAATTAGAAATACCATTTGACCCAGCTATTCCATTACGAGGTATATATCCTAAAGAAGTGAGAGCCATGACAAGAACAGACATGCACACCCATGTTCATTGCAGCAATATTTACAATAGCAAAAAGATGGAAACAGCCTAGGTGCCCATCAAAAGAAGAATAGATAACCAAACTATGGTGCATACACACAATGGAATACTATGCAACCCTAAAGAACAACCTAGAATCTGCAAAACACGGCATAACATGGATGAACTTGGAGAACATTATGCTGAGTGAAGTAAGTCAATCACAGACAGACAAATATTGTATTAGTACATTATTGTAAAAAGTCAAGGAAAGGTTTGTATATGGAAGGACATTTTCTTTATTGGTTACCAGGAGTGCGAGGGGAGGGGAGGGAACACTTAGATAGATAGAGATAAATATTGATTTGGGTGAAGAGAAGGGCAATGTACCAAATGTGAGTAATCAACATGGTGGCACTGAGGAAGAGGAAGACATAGAGAGGTACATGGGCGGTGCAGACAACAAAGATGAACCCTTTTGCACATATAGTAATGCATTGTCAGTGAAGGCAAACATGGGTATACGGGTGGGTAGATGGGTGGACAGGCTGAGCTATTAGGTATGTCTTTGCAGCAGAGAGTGTACCCAAGACCATGTATAGAGTTGACTGACAATGGTTCTACAAGTGTATTTGTATATTCTGTACATATTCCCAGGTGTATAGGAGAGCTGACAGGGACAAGGTTGTAGTCACTTCTTGGCCACAGACAACTACCCAGAGGGAGTGAGTGGTTGAACCTGTGGGTTCGGGACCATAGTCACAGGGGACATCCAGCTCAATTGGCATAACATGCTACACAAAATATTGTTCCACCTTCTACTTTGGCGAGTAGAGGCTGGGATCTTAAAAGTTTGCAGATGGCTATCTGCATGCAACGATGGGTCTCTCCTCATCCAGAGCAAAGAAGAATGAAGAAAACCAAAGATTCATGGAAACAATTAGTTCAAGTGACTGGTATACAATGTGACCCATAGCCTATATGACTATGAGACCAGAAGAAGTAGATTGTGCCTGGCTACCACTGTCAGCCACTTGGAGGGGGATCTATGTAGGAGATTCTTGATAGAGAGGGAGAACAATGTGGAACAAAACTCAAAATCATTTGGAGAAAATAAAAAAGGGGGGGG